TCATTTTTGATCTTAAAAGCAGATTCAGTCCATTTTAACACTACTGCTGTAACGATTAACACCGTGTAAAATCATTTGTGATCTGAAATTGTACGTTAAGACCAAATCAAGCGTAATAGTGTTTAGAACGCAGTGAACGATCTGGTTAGCACGTACACATGGGCTTACCATAGTCTTGAATTTAAAAATAAAAATTGATAAATGATCCCATGCCTTTATAACATCACATATTACATGTTGGTGCTGGCTTTCGATTGTGGAAACTACATGCTAAATAGATGTAGCTCATTTTGTAACAATAATTAACAACACATAACATATCAATGCTGGTCTTCGATTGCGCAAATTCACATAATGCTAAATAGATATCTATTATGTTACTTAATGCTGTACTGAGCTCTGGATCAGATGTCTCATTTTACCAATCGAGCCAATTCGTCAGCTAGAATAACTGAATATTTAGACAAAATACAATCGCAAGTTCATGTAATAAAACTGTCAATTGTGGAAAGGTTAAGCCGTGTAAATGGCATTGAGAACGTTCCAGTTTTTTAATATACATGTATGCTTAAGGTATTATTTAAGAATGACCCTAGCCCCAATAGCCCCCACCCCATTGATGACACTTATATGACATTTATATTTAATACTTTACAATGAATATAAAATGTGTTATTTTTTAATATATGAATGAGGGATTGCTGTCAAAATACGTACCAAAACCTTTTGTTTCAAATAAAATGTTTATATGGATGTTGTCTTGACTTTTTGTCATGGCACATTATTAACACCAGAATAAAACCATGAAGTAGACTAAGGGATCAATTTTATAAATGGTTAAGAATGAGGAGTAAAGTCAATTATATTGTATACTGCGTATTCAACGTTCGCTTACATTATACGCCCGACCCTGTTACAGACTGGCTGTCGGTACTTTTCACCATCATGGGAAGGATACAGCACAGCTGCCGTATAAAGTGCTACAACAAGAATGGGGAATTTGTATTTTCATTTTGATATATTTGATTATGTCGGACAGATAAATTCAAGGTGACTAGATGAGTCAATCGGTAAAAACACTACACCTGCTTTACAGACAAGTACAGAGGGTTCCTTTGTTAACACAATGTTTCGAAAATCAACAATTAATATGTCTTTTATTAATTTTTGTTTGAACAACACATAGACATCAGCATCAACATTATGTAATACCCGTAGATAGGTTGTTTTAATATTGTGTTGAGAAGAAACATGTCTCATAATTTCTATAGCAGTAAAGCACCCTGCACACGGTAATTAATTGGCGCGCGCCACTTGCGCTGAGCCAGATGCTCGCGCTCCTCAGCTCCCCGCAAACGCTTCGCTCTTTGCTCAGCAGAGGTACCTCCTGGCCTGCCCCTAGCGGACGCACTGTGAACTGTGGGATCATGTGTTTAAGGAAACATTACATATTGTTGTTTTTTCTGATAGTAATGGAAATTGTGACCACGTTAATCAATCAGACTAACTATAACTGTTACATTTTGTTGACTTCGCTGGGGGCTGCCATTTTTGTTTGTTTCCGGCTACCGGCACATGCTCATTGTTGGCATGGCTTGAGTAATCGGTGCTTGCATTTGCCTCAAGAGACCAAAAATATCAAACACGTGAGATATTTTGCTCAGCCGCGCGAGAGGCAAAAACTCACCAAAATACCCCCGCAAACGATGAGAAAACGGCGCAGCGCAAGTGACACGGAGAAGAGAAGAAAATACAAACGTTTTTATGAATATGGTACAAAATACTTGTTATTTGATTGCCAGATTTCATAGGGGATAGAGAAAAACGTCGTCGCATTGACCTGAAAAGAGGGAAACTCAACACCTTGAGCTGCTACTTTTAAATGCGTGTTCGTTTTACTGAATAGAGACATACCACAAATGCACAGAACTTAGATCTATTGACAGTTGACTCGTTTGGCACACACGAATGATTTTTCTACTTCCACGTCTGGTTTGGTTGTTGTTGTTGGTTGTTCATGGCGGGCCGGGCGAAATGCTTTAGTGATGAACTACAAATTGTATTCGCGTTCATTTGTGCACGTTCGTTTTCTTTTTCCGAAGTCGGAAGTCGGAGAGACGTTTTTCTTAAAATAAGACAAATTTATATTTTCAGGCAAATAACGGATTTCAGCAATTCCAATAAAACTCGGTGTTTATTCAATTCAAAGAAGCCGCTGTAACAATGATGTTATTAAAATATTCTCATCTGGAGCACCGAAGTCGATGTTTTGTTTTGAATTAAAAACACATTTATGCAAGTTTTAGGCACAACAATTAATTGAACAATGACTAACAACAGCCTGTAATAAACAATCTTGAATGGCACAAAAATTACCTGTACCTTCATGCATTTAACGTTCGCGTTGAATCATTTACTTGTTTTGATGAAAACCAAAATGGCACCATTGACAAAGAAGAGTTCGCCAAAGCCGTTTGTTATTATATCTATATCAGTTATGATGATGCTACATTTTAATGGCATAGCAACATTAACCAACAAAACGCTTAGTTCCATTGTAAAACATTACATTAATAGTTTTAATTTTAAATATTTTTCTATGACTCATCTCTGGTACGATTTATTTCAACCGCATGTTTTTAAATCGTGCACGTTACTTCTTGGTGCATGAGTTCCCGCTTACCATCTTTTGCTAAAACTTCCCTTTTGTTGTAACCGTAAAATGTCGCTCATTTCTCTATCTGTGCCTTCCTTAATGTAATAGGATTCATCAAAACTGGAAATTGAACATTTATCAATTACGCTTACGGTTGACAATACCAGGGGTATGAATATTAGGCTGCGTTCACATGAAAAATCTATTTTCTAAAAAATCTATTTGCGGTATCTTGTAATCACGGTCTGTGCCCTGAATACCCCACGGCGAAATTACGGGCAGCGCGAGCCAGTTACTTCCAATGCTGTAATTAATTCTGTGCCCTGGGGTATTCAGGGCACAGACCGTGATCACAAGATACCGCAAATAGATCACAAGATACCGCAAATAGATTTTTAAATTTTTAGAAAAAAGATTTTTCATGTGAACGCAGCCAAAATCTCTAGGTGGGAAAGTACCTATATAATTCCTTATTTCTTTCCAAAAAGGTTACATATAAAGGTTTAAACTTTCACGGTTTGTGTGGCGTTACAGTTATCTTTAAACACATATTTTTGTGAAATTTTCACTCCTTTAAATCTCAGTATTGACTTGTACTATTCAGGCACTATTCTTTGTGACGTAAGAAAGGCTGTATAATTGACCATTTCCAATCTCCCGAGTCCGTTTACTGTGTATCGTGAAATATTCTGCAACATATAAAATATTATCCGAGCAGTTTTCTGATATTGTCTTTACCAATTACACGCCAAGTATAAAATGCACCAGCTTATAAAAGTTTCTATTTACATTTTATGAAACGGAAAATGCATTCTGCACCAGGAAATAATCAAAAATGACGTATGGCACGCCTATGGAGGTGTGATAGTTTCAAAATGGTGAATAATGCTCAATTTGAAAATGGCGTATGAGGGCCATCTTGGATTTGAGGCACAAATTTCAAGAAACAAATAATGTATTCTGCACCAGATAATAATATAAAACGACGTATTACACATTTACAAAGATGTAGTACATGTAGTTTCAAAATAGCGAATTATGCTCAAGTTCGAAATGCTTTTGGCGGCCATCTTGGATTTGAGGGATAAAACGGCCACCAATGGCCTCCATAATGATAAAAATGTTTTTTTTTGCTCATAATATAGTACAATAGCAATGGTATATAACAAAAAATTGCATTGAGATATATTTGAATACGGGTTATTAATATCCATGGTTTTGCAGCGTTCACACATATCTTGGTAGGCACTTAAAACACCCTCTTTGTCCCTTCAAATCACCTACTATCACCAACACAATATCAAAAATGACTTTTTCACCCCCAAAATAGTAGGAATCGATATATATATATCAAGTATATATAGACCAAACGCTTCAAAATTCAACATAAAATAGCAAAATTATGTCCACTTTCAAAATGGCGGGTGGCAGCCATCTTGGATTTGAGGCACAAAATGGCCACCAATTGCTTCCAAATGATCAAAAATNATAGACCAAACGCTTTAAAATTCAACATAAAATAGCAAAATTATGTCCACTTTCAAAATGGCGGGTGGCGGCCATCTTGAATTTGAGGCACAAAATGGCCACCAAGTGCTTCCAAATGATCAAAAATGGGTTCCTTGTCCCTAATTGAGTCAGGTTTGATAATCTATACATGTTTCTAGGCCAAAAATTAATGGAAATATGAAATATTATATATTTTGGCACATAATTTGCATAATTTATGCTAATTAATGTATCGATAGAGGGCGTCTCTTTGGATAAAAAATTTTCTTTTGGCCCAAGGAACATTTATGCCAAGTGAGACATTTGTACTACAAAATGCAGCGTTTGGCCATTTTTTGGTTCTTAACAAGCCTACTAAGGAGGTTACAAAGCTATTGCCAGATCAATGGTATTCAGGATGTTGATAGGACCCTTTTTTCGCCTCCCTTCACCCTTGTGAACTGGTAAATATATATATTTCAAATTTCAACATTTACTGTTTTAACAAAAGTACGTAGTTTAATTTAGGAGGGCTATCTCAGACCTCATTTTTATGAATAGTTTTTTTTTTTTTATTTATTATTATTATTATTTTTTTTTTTTTTTGACATTATGTGGCCTAATAACATACCCCAGGTAGCAGTAAGGTTATCAGGCAGGAATAATTAAGGTCGATAAATTGATGGGATATGATTACACGTATACATATGTATGTGATTTTACCTTAAACCATAAATGAAATCAGGCAATTTATGAACATTGTACATAAAAGTCAGTAATTGGTAAAAAAATAGAAATGTGATTTGGCTGGTCAAGGCATCTAACAAGAAGATAGATTCATAAAATGACGCTGATCGTGGGTCAACAAAGCCTGTTTTATTTGCTACATTTATACTCCCTTTAAAAAGACAAGGATAAGATACATGTACATGCACGTTCTTTTCAGCATAAAAGTCAACGTTTAATATTTCTGTCTGATTGTTAGTTTTCTATTGTTTAAAGTTTCTGAAGTGTCTTTCACTGTCAGATCATCAGTTAAATGGCCAGTTAGTCGAGAAGACAAATATCGTCAACAGTGGCTCCCTCGGGATAGCTCCCTGAAAATATACAAGAGTCATGTATTCTTCTCTTCCTTGAGCTGTATGTGTGCCCTGAATTTACTCATGTTCCACATTGATGCTGTACAATTTACACAGCCAGACAGATGGCAAACTCTTAATGCCTCAAAAATAATAATGAATGATAAGAAGGTTTTAATCTTAATTCTAAAAAAAAAAAAAAAAAAAAAAAAAAAACACCCTTACCGATCTTGTCGAAGTACATCTGACGCCCAATTTCCAGGTACTTCTCACACAAACTTAAGAACGCCCCGGATGCCTTGTACGTCTCCAACGCCTCATTCCACCAATCAATGGCCTCGCTGCCTTTCTTGGTCATAAGGGCTGTACCGGAAATGCACTGCATGTCGGGATCGGTGCCTGCTCCGGCTGGGTTGATGATGACGAGTTCTGCACTAGCTGTGTTCAGTGCGTTGTTACTGTTGAATAAAGCATCTGCCTGGAAAAGCAGTGGCACCCTGTTAGGATTAGTGAACATGTACATATAAGGTTTCAGTGGAAACTCTAAGGCATCGAAAAAAAAACCCAATCTCATTTAATGTATAAATATGCACTCCCCGTTAAATGCCGAGATACTGGTATCTTTTTGAATTTTTTTCCAAAATGAATTTTTCCTTATTTATTTATTTATTTATTTATTTATCTATTTATTTATTTCAAAGACTTATAAATGTGGTGTAGAAAGTGCAGCCCAAAATACATTTATGAAAACTGACGGACAATCTACATGTATTTGGGCCAAACCGAGTCCCATTGGCGCGACGGACCGACTTTTTCATAAATAAATAAATAAATAAATAAATAAATAAATAAATAAACAAAAATAAATAAATAAATAAAAGAGAACACTGTGAACGTGATATCGAGAACAAGGGACTGATAACTGGATTTTGTCTTCCATTGACGGCAGGGAAAAGGTGTTCATTGTCTCACACACACACACACACACGTCTGAAAGCGTTCACATGTCTAGGTTTGAAGATGAAAAACTTAAAAAGATGACATGCATTAGGCCTGAAATTAAGGGTACTTGAGCCAAACGGGCAACTTTCTTTACTGATATTATTTTAGCAGAGAAGAAGTCTCGCATGATCGACTTACTTCACCACTTTCAAGGGCCTCCATCCCTGCAGCGTGTCCATTTACGAAGATTGCCTCAAAACCCGTCACGCCATGGTTTATGAGGCACTGGGGTGAAGACAACTGGCCCCCAGCAAACGCTAGAAAATATGAATAATATAGATATACTTTGGCGGTCTTGGAGAATAAATAAATAAATAAATATAGCAAATTTTTAAACACTGAGTCTGTAACATTGAAGCCACAAGACTAAAAAAAAAATAAGTGCTGGGTTTTGTCCCCTTTTTTCGTAGCTTTCTTTTATTATGCAATTCTTCTTTTATTATCATTCTTATCATTATGATCCTATAAAAAACATCTAGTTAGATTTATGTAAAGGACACGCAAAGCAGGGTTCTATAGTATAAATTATAAGTAGGGTATATGTCATTAAAAAGTTCCATCTCTAGTATACATGTATGTACATGTGTATTCAGTCTCTTAGTAGCATTTGGTCTTTTAATTTTCAATTGCAGCAAACCTTGACAAGAAGAAAAAACATTTCCTCATCATCAAGAAACACGAAAAAATTTTTATTGATATTATCATTTTAAAATTCTGTTAGTCCCTCTTAATCACACATTAGGTCTGACCGAGAGCAAATGACAACTTTAAGGCGGGTGTTTAATCTATTTTCACCTACCACGAAAAAGCAATATATATATACAAATCCTATCACATAAAACGCACCGTTTTAAAACAAGGAAAAAAGTTGCTACCGTTTTATGCTTTACTTACACTATATTTTCGGACCATTGCAAATAATTTATGCTGATTTGATTTATACTAAATAAATGCTGATATCAATTAACAATGAGCCCTTTTGGAGAAACTGGCGCCTGTGTAGAAGCGTTGTACTAGTTAACCTGAAAATCCACCCACCGACTATCTTCCCAGTCACGTTCTGTGTTTCAACCAAAGGACTGCTTGGCAGGACCATCATGTTGGATTTCAGTGGTGAGAACGGATTGGAGAACTCCACCTGTTGTTGGCGTTCTGTGGTGATTCCAAAGCCAAAACAGCCGTCAAACCATTCCCCCATCACACCTATGTTTGGATAATATTCTTTGTCAATATGACTTGATTTTCGTGTAAATTATTATTAAAGGCACAGAATGGAATTTGGACCAACGACTAAGAACATTGTTAAAAACGAAGTTTGAAGAATATACACTGGATTTGTATACCCTGGTCATTTTAATTTAATTTTCCTATAAAATAGGCATTATGACTTTTTTATCGCCTTACCTATTTCATGGTGATTTGAAACTGGCAGATGAATAGCTGCACTTACCAAGATTTTTATTTATTTATTTATTTTAGGGGGATTATTTCTAGATAATTCGACATGTTACATTATGTTCAATGTTTATAGCAACGCATCACAAGCACCACTTTCTGGTAATGTGGAATTCATTTAAAGGTTTTTACCTTCCCCGGCTATATTTTCTCCATTAGGGCCAGCTTCCATACATTTCTGCACCGGTATTGTTGTGTAATCACATTCCTTTTCAGCTATTTCGCAAACTGAAAGGAAAATGGATGAGATATGACATATGCAAATGGCAGGGGGAGAGAGAATTTGTTTCAAGAGAAAAACACATGAGAGAGAGAAATTTCAAAAGCAAAAAGGATACACATTCGCTACGTATAGTATGAAAATAAGGGCACCATTATTTATATGTTTGTGTGCTCGTGTTTCAATATTGATCTTTGAAAAAAAGAACCAAGATGTTTCACATCAATGCCTACCAGCGGTTACACACACGAGCTGTCTGTTTCATAAAAAGTGTACGTAGTGTGTCAGGGACCAAAAGCTTGCCCTTTTTTAAAGGGCTTGATTTATCCGACTAGTTGAATTTCAAAAGGTTTCTTTAAGACCCCATTCCCAGAGATTAGATCGATCCAACTAGATCGACCTAACTCCCTGGGGGTTCACGCTAAATAGCTGTCAGCCGAGCGGGCACGAAAGTTAATTACCCCCTTACAGCTTGTAGTAGGCGGGACGGACATTTAAGCCGGATTATCAGACAGTAATCTAGTTAGACTCCCCACGGGGACAGATCGATCTAAAATCTATGGGAATGCGCCCTAAGGGTGGCTTCTTTTTTATTTTCTCTTTCAATAAGACCCTTTTGAGCAAGTTGTGATTCCCTGGTGACAATAATCCATTTAGATATACCAACAATATTTATGTGGGCCAATTTTTCTAAAAGCTTTCAGTCTAATATGGCATAGTCGGCTATTTGATCTTATTAGCCCGGAAATAATATGCATGGCAAGTACTGGTAGGCCTACATGTACATCTCTGGATTTATGACCACATGTTGTTTCTTTTTTAAATATTAGTCACATTTTGTCCGAAGGAAAGTAATTTGCTTAACTTACCTGCCTGCAGAAGTTCACGGTAAAGCCCCGTAAATTCTCCAGAGGAATTTCTGAAAAAAGGTGACATCTTAAAACACACACCTTTTCTAACTTTGCGTGAAGAACAGTTACACTGCTTCCTACACTGTGAAGTGCACTTCATCATTGCAGTGAAATCACTTGTTGATAAGTACGCACGTGCACATCACCCGCGAGGACACATACACACGTGAACTTTAAGTTTCTATTCGAAGTGATATATACACAAACATGTACAAAGCCAGATGCACTAAAATGACAAAATGTGAGATCTGATACCAAATATGTCACTTCAACAAATCATTGAGAAGTTTTCAGCAACACCCCAGCACTAGTAGACTATTATCACATCTATCACCAAACTCCAATTAATGTACAACATAAACATAATCAGTGTGCGTGTGTGTGCGTGCGTGGTTGTTTGTCTGTGTATGTGATCAATATTACTACCTTCACTCTTGTCTGCTTAGTAAAAACTGCGTTAGTCCTTGTTTTCTACTTTAAGTACATTGCAAAAGTGCAGGTATATTCATTATTCAACAAGGAACTGCCGCAAACATCTATGTAGGTTATGGAAAGAAAAGAAATGCACGCAATAGAATCTCATAAACGTTCCCTTTAACCAGAGAATGAAAAAGACAAGGACTTACAGGTATGACAGCGGAGGGGGATAGATTGGCATTTCAAACACCCATACCTATAATATAATATAATATAATATAATATAATATAATATAATTTTTCACTTTTACTCTGACGGTTTACAATGGGCATCAATTGTGATAGCCCGAGGTCTTGCGAATTAACGCAAAATCAAGCCAGATTTTGAGGGATTTGAAGGAGAGTTTGATCGGAAATTATTTTAATAGTACCCAAGAATCATAGTAGAGACTGTTAAATCTTTAAAATGATGTGCAATACTAAATTATAATATTGTTGCTGTGATTGCAGTGAGACCGAATATACATGCAGGTACATACATTTGTAGAAATAATGCTTTATTTAAAGTCTTAAAAGACGTTAAGGGATGACTTTACGTGCACTGTCTGTAGATATACTAAAGTACATGATAAATTCTGGTAAAATTTCACTACTTTCAAACACTACACTACTATTGGCGGATTTGTAGCTTATTTACGTGAAATGGTAGAAGTGGCAAATCCACCCTCTCCCACTCCTTAAAAAAATACCATACTCATACGATAATCAAGTACATGTCCGTTTGTATCCATGTGTAACGTTCTTACCTATTCGGTTAGATACAAATAAATTATTTATTTATATTTACTTATTTATTCAAAATATTTAAATTAATTTATCTTTTTTTGTTAAAGCACTCCCTCAAAATATCTTGACCCGCCAGCGGTATTTTAAAACATAATTTATAAATCGGAATATAATGATGCTTTAATCACGTTCGATGACTACACGACCTTTCAGTTGATAAGAACAGGTTACCTTGGGTGGCTGAAGAGGGCATGGCGGGGGACCAGGCGGCGCTCTTCTAACACTTTCGCCTTGTCCGACCACAGCAAACAGGAAAACCAACGTGGAAATCTGCCCCAGTAGAGATAAATTAGAGTATGTGTTGTGAAACATGTTTTGCATATTATGTACGTTAAATTATAAATATAATATAATATAATATAATATAATATAATATAATATAATATAATATAATATAATATACATGTAATTTGGGGCAACAATGCCAGAAAATTACTATCTATCAGTGATTCAGCGTTCTTACTACATTAATTGCAATATTGAGTCAAATTTTGAAACAAGAAAGAAGGAAAAAATGTAATGGACGTTGATTTTATATAGGAAGGCGGCAATTCAATAATAATTTACCATTGTGTGCTAGCTGATTTTATACAAGTGTACTCTCGTCTTTTGCACAAAATGGCAAGTCCTTCATTGGCGCAACTATTCATAAGACACCCATATATTACATGAACTCTCAAAATGTGACAGTTTGTTACCGGGTGACTTTGCCGAGGGACAATGCTGTTTATATATGATATGGAAAGAAACATGTGGGCACAATCCACTTAACTGTATGGGTAATATTACCACAATAACCACATACTATCAATGTGCATATTAAAGATACGCTCCTTAATGCATGTGTTTGTAAATCCCCCAAGTTATATTTTAGCCTGAAAAGCTTCTTATATTTCCAAATTCAGATATTGAAGACAATAAAATCATTTAAATAAAAGTTTATCTGAAGCGTAATTAGTGTCGTTATTATTTTCTCAGCTTTGTCAGATAGCCATTGACAGCTCTCAACGTCTGTATTTACACACCACAAGGCCGCGATACAGTTATTTAGAAAAATCATTTTGAATAAAAAATGGTATAAGACAGGGACTTGTCCAACAGTGATTTATGAGAAAAAAAAGAAAAACTCTTTTTTAAGGAAAATTCATTTTGGCGGGTAAATCTTGTCGAGAGTGCCTTAAAAGACACATATTGGACGTAAGGACCTCATGAGGCAAAAGTGTCATTTTCCTGAAGTTTCCAATCCTTTTCTCCTTAATGAACAAGGACGTACCACATCCAAACATTTTCACAAAATTAGGATCCATAAACCTGTGTGTATGTCTAAGTTCTAGTTTTTGACCCAATCTCTTAATGGAGATGAAAACTGGTGAATTTCACTCATGACAGTCAAAATTAAATTGCTAATAAAGAAGAAATTTACCCAAATTCCCGGAGCTTTTCCTTTGTAAAATAAAGATTAAAAGCATGAAAGCATTAAAGTATTACATCAATTTTAAAATGCATTTCGCAAATCTTTATATAGAATTTGAAATTGAAAAACAATGCGAAATCAAGGTACAACGGTGACAGGTTATTCACAATAACTTTCCTATTTTAGGTTTAATGTTACTGTTATTTGGCGAAATGGCACACATTTGCATTCGGTCCTTAACCCTCTACCTGGGTCATAGAGAGTTTTGCGCCGTATATTCACAGATATTTAAGTGGCTTATCTTATACAAATCACTCTACTATGAGAATTTTGGCGTCGTCGCCCTGTTAGCATCTGGAAGACAGTTTCAGTCCTTTACGGCAGGGTGGATGATAGCCCGCGGGTGGCATGTTGCGTGAGGGCGCAAGCACGCAAGCAAACATTGATCGAGTAATTGTCAGTAAGAAGATTAAAATCAGCACTGGGATATATGAAACCTCTCATCATATTATTCTGTTGAAAAGGATGAACTCTGAACTGCCAGAAGGGAATGAGTAGCTTCGGGAAGTGAAAGCGATAGAGGGTGAGAGTTGATGTAAAATAAAAATAAAGAAATCCGAGAAATTTTTATGGGTAAAAGAAGCAAATCAACCAGATGATGAAAACAGTCGATTTCAGAGAACGGCGTACTCTTCAAACTCAAATGAGACAAATGTACATACTCAAAAAATCAAGCAGAATTCAGCACGGACTTACCTTTGCAGTATTCATCTTGAATGTCATAAACGTCTGCCTGAAATGCATGATGTGCGTCTTAATACCTATCCTCCTGATTATGCAAATTACCTACGTCATTGATATCATCCCTGTTCTTTGGTTAGATGAATCATCACACCAAGTCCAATTCAATTCCAATCTGCATGTGTCACATTGACATGGCTTTTTAAAAGTAAATACATTGAACTCCACGGTTCGCATAACATGGAGATTTTGAGACGGTAAATTATGTTGGGATAGCACCGATCAGAATGAAGAAATCCGTTCCGCAAGATTTTCTGGAATTAAACGATAACTGGAGTTCTGAAAAGCGCAGTATATGAACTACCAGTACAATAGTTCACTTGTACCATTTATCGGATTCACGTTGCACGTGATAAAAAATGAAATTGTTTTTCAAAAAGGATATCTTGTAATATATGCTGACAGTAAACACACATTTGTTCCGTTCACACTGTTTCATGTATGTTGACGAGTACTTGTTAACGTCCCCAAAACATTTGATTTTCTATCCTCAGACCATTCGCCCTTCTGCCTGTTAACACATCCTCACTCAGAAAAGACCTACTTGACTGCACCTGCACCCATATTTACGGGGTGTATTCCAAATATGAATGATTTACTTTTAACAGGAGCATATAAAATGTTGCAATCATGACATGGACCGCATGTGCTAGTTGTTTGTGATTTCACCACTTTATTGAATAAAAGCAGAATTTACATACACTTAACAAACCGATCATAAATCGAATATTTTAGATGGAAAACAACGACGAGGAAGCACCCACGTTATTAATACATATTAAACTATACGAAAAATAAATAATGTCCCCAATAAAAGCCCTATTCTCAAAACCATGGGTGTAATTTCCGTGTCGTAATAACATGACGACCACGCTGCAGCCATGTTTTAGCATAGAAACTAAGGGACGTAGTGATCAACTTTCCTCAACATGAACACTTCAAGGTGACCTTTTAAGACTTCATTTCATCTTCATTTCAAGCTGATACAACACGTGAAATAAAAAGCCAGATGCTGATCACTACTTATATAAAATTAAAGAGCACTTCAAAGGCTTTCTGCTGGCATGCATTGCTTCGACATTTAAAATATGTATTAACTTTCGGTAACACTGGAAACCCGTCCATCTCTCTGGAAAACAGAGTTTACCATATTCTCAATACAAATGTGTCACTCATTAAACTTTACTTACAAGTACTACCGTTTTTAAAGACTAGCATCACTCGATTACAAAACTGTGACAACAATATACCAGTAAAGTTTAGGAGTTGATGTTTTTAGTCATCCAGTCAAATTATGGCTCATTCCCATATTGGTCTGCTTAGATCGATCAAACTCTATGGGGACTCCTGCGGAGTGCAATTGATTTAACAGATTAACACGCCTCCTACTGTTTTCCGACGCACTCGTATAATCGCCAGCTTTTCTGTATTCTACTCATTGCCAAGAGGGGGCATGTTAATCTGTTAATTGGATCGATATATAAATCTATGTAGAACGATGGTGCCTATGGGAAAGAGCCCTTAGAATCATACGAATCATATCATATGGATCAATCGAAATCTGGAACTTAAAATTTACGGCTACCCGGCGTTGTAGTCTCACCCGTGTACTGTATGTCACACACTGAGGTGACCAGTCCATCTATATAAATTCCAAGTGAAAGGTCTCAGGCTGTCACCAGAACGGTGGTTAGTCGTTAAACATTAGTTCCAGAATCCGATTGATACATATACCTGATACCAGGACAGTGTATCTCGACTCTCTGATCTACATCAAATAGGAGCGGGCACAAATAATAATTTACGTCTGCCTAGTTGAAGTTTACAATGGTCTATCAGCCATGAATCCTGGATACCAGACTATCAACCTCTTTTTCATTCTGTGCTCGTAAAAACTTTGACATTTTTATACTTAAATATTTGATATGTTTTTGAGGTAGCATGTTATCTGTAAGTGTAACACTAGCTGATTGAATCAACACAAAATATATATCATAAAGATGTCCATTTTGTAGCAGAAAATACATATCCAATTCACATATTTCAGAGTTTCCCTTCCACCCTGTTCTGTTTTCAGTACATGGTTAGAACATCTAAATCTAGCTAATGCTGCTTTCTACAGTTAAAAGTTTCACACATTCACACAAATATATAGGTTACTTGATTAAATGAGGTTTTAAAAACACTATGAATGCGCCAGCATATTAGAGTACGCAGCATATTATAGTACGCAGGAGGGTTTCTGGTTGCCATCTATTCTATGGCGCGAGAATTGATTTAGACATAAATTTAAGCTGTGACCCTAGAAGAAGGTAGTATCTGGTCTCAGCCGTTGTTTTCTTAGTCTGTCAACCGCGATGCTGTACTATTTAGGCACACATCTGCCAGTTAGTCTAGAAGACAAATATCAGCGACGGAGGCTCCAACTGGGTACCGACCTAAAATGAAGTAAGGCAGTTGTTCACTTTCGTTGTTTGACGGAATTTTAAATGTAGGAGGTATTTCAAAGTAAACGTTTTCTTCAGAGTAGCCCATATAAACTTTTAGTTACAATTTTTTACAGATACACAAACCAAATGCAAAAATAATCTCTGTCAGAAGAAGACATAACGGCAAACACATTGTGTATGTCTTTTTTTATCTTATTTATTTATTTATTTTGAAAACCGATACTGTCTCTTATTTACAGTCGTTTTTGTGTTCACGTTTATCAGACAATCTAGAAGATATACCTATTCTGCTGTGGAACATTTCCCGTCCAATTCTTAGATATTTTCGACACAGTTCTGCATACGCGCCGGAAGCCTTGTATTGCTCAAATGCTTTATTCCACCAATCAAGAGCTGCGCTCCCTTTTTTTGTCATCAAAGCGGCACCGGAAACACACTGCATGTTGTGACTGGCGACAGGTCCGAGTGGATTGATGACGACTAGATCTGGAGTTTCAATGCTGAAAGGGCTGTTGGGAATAAAAATCGCGTCTGCCTAAATGACAAATAAATAAACAATCAGATAGATAGATAGATATAAAGTAGTGAATACATTTCCTTGTCGATAAGGCTTTTGAAAAAAAAGCATAGTTGTAGGAAATCATCGCATGGCTTAAATGTGAAATATTTACAACATTTCAACTAAACTTACTTGCAGGAAATGTCATTACAGAGAGAAGGTTCTGATCATGAAATTCTAGTATCACAAAATTTATAAAATGACCTTTTCATTTAGATACGTTTTTCAGATTTAATAAGAACGATGGACACTGAGCTTTATTTGCTTGTGCCATACCTTTCCAGTTTGAAGGTATTTAACTCCCTCTTCATGTCCTGATACGTAGACTACTTGGAAACCGGTCACTCCATGGGCCCGAAGACATTCGGGTGTGGCCATTAGACCATCCATAAAAGCTGGAAAAAAATACATAAAATATTTGAATGCATATGTACCTAAGGACGTCTACTGAAAAGAATGAAAATGTGTTAATATATGGGTACTCTAAATTTTTTAAGTTTACAACAAGTTGTCATTAACCATTACGTACATAAAGATTTTGAAAAGTTTTATATTCTGAACACCAAATTCTTCTTTAAGTTTTGGCAGATTATTATTTAAAGAAAAAATGGCTTCATGCTTACCAGTGATATATATTATTATGTTGTTACGAAATGTGACAGGTGAGATGTGCAGCATTGTACCAGAGAAAATATCTCAAAAAATCACACTAGAATAATTGAAATAAAGTTCAATTGAAATAAAGTTTGATTACCCAGCTTCATTTTTCGTTTATCAAAGCACCCACCTACAGTTTTACCACTGACATCAGGAGTCTGAAGCAGAGTGCTGTTGGGAAGTACCAACATGTTGGAGTGGAGAGGTTCGAATGGCTTCGAAAAGGCAACCTGCCGCAGCCTTTCCTTATTGATTCCCCATCCTAGACAGCCATCAAACCATTCTCCCATAAGGCCTGGAGATTATAACAAGCAATTACTACATAAAGAAAAGAATCAATATAATTCTTTGGATAGAATATGGAAATGAAATATGAAAGCTAATCTCACCACAGTCTTATTATACCAAAAATTACCATTAACTTAGAATTGATACAAAAACCTCTTCGAATGATTTTCTGCTTTTTCTCTTATCGAACTGTTCTATTATTATTAAACTGTGCAAGAGCTTTGCCACGGTAAAATCCCCAAACTGGTGGCGAGTGACTCTGCCGAAGTCTCCCGTTGGGGCTCTGCAGCCGGTAAAATCACCAATACCGCTTCGCTTTCGGGGCGGGGGAGGGGGGGCTAATGAAAATTATTTAATATTTAACGTATTTTTGTCAATTTTCATTAGGGGATTTTAACATGACTATTTGTTAAGAGAGAGAGAGAGAGAGATTTCTCTATTTACCTTCTCCTGCGTTCAATTCTCCTCTGGGGCCAGACTCCATGCAGGACCTTAAGGGCATAGTAGTGGTCTCACAGCGTTTTCCAGCTAACTTGCATACTGGAAGCATTCGATTTACACCGTATACAGATCTATTTAAACAAAAAGAACAAAGAGAGAGAAAGAGAAACNAAAATTAAGTCCAGGAAATTTGGTGGTGATGTGATCCCCAGTACAGGTAGCCCTCTCTCCCTCTCTTGTGATCATATCTAGCTTCAAAATTGTAAAATTGCATGCTGACGTGTCCGTGGATCATGTAACATGATACATATGTAGCAGTGTGTAGTTATTATTTTACCCCACAGATGAAGTTGTGTTTTTGCTTTTGTTTGTTATATTTGATAATGGCTACCAAACCCTAATACATGTAAGTTGTGGACCAATTTTGATGAAAAATTCCGGTAAGATCAGAAAAGGGCCAGCTTAAAATTATTAAGATTTTGGTGAGAAAAAAATCATTGATTAATGATGAAAATTAAGGTGGCTTTCATAATAATAATAATAATAATAATAATAATAATAATAATGATGATAATAATAATGATAATAATAATAATTTATTAAGCCAATAAAATACAAATGTATAAAATCGGGAATCTTTTGCCCTGTTGTAGCGCCATT